TTTCTTTCTTATACCTCTCTACCATAAACTCTTCAGCTCTTACTTTGTCCAGTCCTTGCCAGTATTTCAATTCACTTTATTCTGGGATATTATAACTAATACACATTAGCAAATAGATTGCAGAACATGTTGTAGGATCTTTCCAGGTCAGTGGATGCTTTCTGTTACACTGGAATCACTGACACTGTGGTGAAGTGCTTCAGAAGGACGAGGACAGAGGGGATTGCACCAACAGCAACATCTCCAAAGCAGCTGGTGCCACTTTTTCTGCAAGAAATCCATGACTTTCCTACCATGTGACATATTTGCACTTCTGGTTGCAAGCATTTAGCAGATTCTTGCAAAATTCCAGGCATTATTGCAATGAAATGTGGCTGTCCTATAGAGGAGAGGCCAGGAGCACAGGTGAATAAAGAGGTCAAATCAGAAGATGTATTTTTAAAGCAAATGCATTACAGTCTGTTGTAAAATGGACAAATGTCTCAGGAACTTTGTATAAGCCAACAATCACTTATTGTACAGGTTAAACTAGGGTTTTTTTTCTGCACAATTGCCCAGCAGAGCTAACAAAGCTGAATCTGCAGTTCTGAGAATCACAGGCGGAAATAAAACCCCTGTCTATTAAAAGGATACAGCAGTATTTGGAAGATACAAAGGGACGTTAAATAAAGGTCTGTGCCCCTGCATGTACCTTTTTAGTGATTTTTTTAAAAAAATCCAGTTAAATTACAGTAACTTAATTTTCCTAATCCAGTAGTGAAGGAGTCTGGTGCACAGTAAAGTCCAGAAATGCACTTTAAACATTTGTAACTGAAAAGATTTTCTTTCCTGAGTGAATGCTTAAAAAAATGAAGTCAGTAGAATTGTGCCTCACAAGAGGTAGGGAAAATCCATCAATAAAAGTCCACAGAAGATTTTCAAGGCTCTGCTACAAAGGCTGCAGCCACTGCCTCAAGAACTATGGAAGCAATCAAGAAGGTGAAAATGTGTCTTGCTGCCAAATATAACTGGGGGAAGTAAAATTCTTTACATGACGACACTTATGTGCTGTTGCCACGGCGTTTACCCTACTGGGTACACAGCTGCTGACTACTGGATATGATGTGGGCCAAGTTCAGTGGAGCTTTAGGGAGGAGTGGCTGGCTCGGTTCTCCGAGCATCCTCACTCTGGTCTAGGCGGAAGCTAACTACGTCATTATGCTGCCACAAGACTGGTGCTGAAGGCTTTATTAACTGAAAGCCCCGTGGCAGCCTGTTATGATGACTGTAACATTCCCCTGCATGGGGAATTTAGCTGGAGCTGAGATCTGGCCCGTGATGCCTGCACATGTGAAAGGCTTTCTGCACCAGGAGGTTCTGCTTCCAGAATGAACCTGGACAGGCGACAGCATGGAGGAGCTGGCAGGGCATGGGCATAGTTACAACTTCTGATCAGTTGATTTATACAGTTGGAGTGAATTATCAAATAATATCCAAAATCAATACTGTGGCACTTTCTACATCTGCAAGCACAGAAAAAAAAAAATATCTATATTTTTAACTCTTCAATAGTTCTAACTTGGAACAAAGGACCTTTTTACATCCGAAATACCAAATAGTTGACTCATCCACTATAAAGAGATCTCTAATATTATATTCTTGGATCAGAATTAGAGGCAATTATAGCACTGCCCAGAGATAAAAACCAGCCGGCAAGGGTGTTTCAATTCTAGTCATGGATGATAAACAGTGTGGAGGTGAAATGCTGCAGCTGCTGAGTGATGGAGATTGCTATCAGGATTAAACAGGAAGCCCATGTTTTACTGGATCAAGAAAGATTAGCCATCTTTTGAATATGGGATTATGAAGTAATTAAATAAATGAAGACACATTTCTGACACAAAAGCTACAAGTAAAAATGTAATTAGTCATATTATATACAATGTTTCTGTAATTTGTCATTCAGGTCTTTGACTGGAAAGCATATCAGCCTGCTTCATGGTTTAAGTGAAGTCAACTGTGCCGAAGCCACTAAGGGCTGAGCCTGGCGTGCTCTGCTAACGAGTGTGTTTTACAGGGATGAACTAACTGCTGCTGTGAACATACAATGGGTAGAACTCCTACAACTTTTGGTGGAAACAATGTTCTGCTGCTCTTTACCAGCCTGGCCTGGCAATTCATGACTTGAAGAAATGGTCAAGGGAGGATTAAATTGGTTTGACCTCCAGTGGGATCACAAAAGTAGTAACTAGTGCATCTATGCAAAACTGGAAGCACTGGCGTAGTTCCCTGTGCACAAAAATCCTCAACTCTGTAACAGGTAACGTGGTTTGTGTAGGACAGTGCTGAAATTCAGCAATGTCTGGGGTGAAACATGAGTCAAATGGAACTGTATATAGCTGAATGACAACAGATTTCTGTAAACTCACTGAGGAAATCTCTTAACCATGAGATTTAAGATGGTGCAAGATCTTTTAACGTCTGTGCAGAGAAGACAAATTCTCTGTTGTTAAAAGCCTCACAGAAAAGGCCCACACAGAACAAACTGCACAGTTGCTCTGTTAATCTAAGTAGGAAAGGTGAAAGCTTGTGTTCACCCTGCCAGGTGGAAGTTTTACAAACCTTGTCTGTTATTGAAACAAACAGCTTTATAGGAAAGTCTGTGCACAACAAAGATGCTTGAGAGGGACACTTACCCTGGACCACCATCGGAAGAACAGTATAGCCCAGTATAGGAGCCAAGGTGGAACCATTGGATATGAATCCAATATCCAATGAATCCATTTGGATATGGATTTACATCCAAATCTTCAGGGCTTTGGTTTGGATTTCTTCCACTTTTGGCTTTTATGGGGATATATTTTGCCGTCCTGCAGGCACGTAGTTTTCATTAGATTCTACGTGCACCAAGGGGAGAATGCAATATGGGGTACTCACATGCAAATGTACTTCTTCTATGCTGTTAAAATTAATAAAACCTCATGGGTTTTTTTCAGTCCCAGAGGCTTTTATTGTGGTTATGTGCTATTTAGGAACTGTATTTAAAAACAGATTTAGGAATAGATCTGTATACTGAGTTCAGTGCTCAGATATAGCAGTAAAAAAAAAATAAACATGACCCTTTTCTGTGTTACTAAAGAAACGCCTAATGTGTCTGTTTGGAAAAAAGGAATTAACCCTGTTGATGGGTTTTTTTTGAGAGAAAAGGCAGTATGTACAAGATAATGAACCATACTTGAAAAATGTCTTACGGAACGGTACTCACAGCTCTATTTAAAATGATCAGCAAACATATATGTCCTCATTTTGGGGCATCATATTAATTAGTAGGGGATGAGTTCTATCTTCCATCCAGGTGCAGAGAACAAGATCCTCAATGAGAGCCTCCTTTCCATATCTTAGAAATGGTGGAAGCGAAATTTTCCTTTTTCCTATCCCTTGAAATACTAGACGTAAGAGGAAGAAGAGGGCCTTCCTCATGGTCTGTGGGGATGGATACAGCAACATCACCCAAATCCCAGTGTGGGACATTGCCCAGCCCTCCTTCCTACCTCCTGAGTTGACAGTGGACATCTTTCTCCTTTCTTGCTGGAGACGGTCTCCTCCTTTCAGTCTTGCTTCTAAATCAGTATGTAGCTCCCCTCATCTGTCTCCTTCCCGTTTTTAAGAATAGGAGATGGCTTTCCCCTACGCCCTTCTGCTGGCCTGGGCAGTCCCCTGCATCTGGTTGTGGGAGCTAAAACCTCTTCATGGTGTGGGATGCGTTGACCAAGGGAGGGGAGCTCCTTGTCCAAAGACATTAAGAAACCTGGGATGACTTTTGTGTCTGATATGTCATCACTTTTGTAAACTGTAAAACCGTTGCCTCAAGACAGTCCTATCCTACCCAGGGTTTATAAAAGCTGGCGTTTGTAGGGGTTGTTGTGGTTTTGAGGCCGGATTTGTGGCTCTCTAACTCTTCGGAGTGCAGCAGTAGTGAGGAATTCAGCGGGATCTCTCTGCAGAGGCCACCCCTGCTTTCCCACAGACATCCTCCCCAGCAGCCCGGCCCTGTCCCACCACGGGGGCTTTTCGGGGCCAAGGCACAAACCCCTAACCACCGCGCAGCCGCTTCGCCTGGCCCAGCGGGAGGGGCCCCTCTTCTCTGCATCAGCACTGGCGTGGCCAGCAGGGCCAGGGAAGGGGTCTGAGCCCTGGGCTGGGCACTGGGGAGGCCGCCCCTCGCTGAGTGGGTTCAGTTTTGGGGCACTCACCCCAAAAAGGCCATTGAGTGACTCGAGCGTGGCCAGAGAAGGGCAACGGAGCTGGGGCAGGGTCTGGAGCACAGGTCTGCTGGGGAGCGGCTGGGGGAACTGGGGGGGTTCAGTCTGGAGAAGAGGAGGCTGAGGGGAGACCTCCTGGCCCTCTGCAACTCCCTGCCAGGAGGGGGCAGAGAGGGGGGATGAGTCTCTGGAGCCAAGGAGCCAGCGCCAGGCCCCGAGGGAATGGCCTCAAGCTGCCCAGGGCAGGGTCAGGCTGGCTCTGAGGAAGGATTTCTGTGCAGAAGGGGCTGTTGGGCGTTGGAATGGGCTGCCCAGGGCAGGGGGGAGTCCCCGGGATCCCTGGAGGGGTTGAAGAGTCGGGCTGAGCCAGCGCTGAGGGATCTGGGGGAGCTGGGAAGGGTCAGGGTGAGGGTCATGGTTGGGCTGGAGGAGCTGCAAGGGCTTTGCCAACCCGGACGATTCTGTGATTCTGTGACGAGTCTCCCCGGATTTCTCCGGCGCGGGGAGGACGGCGGGGGAGCACTTTCGTTTCCCCCCGCTGCCCGCCCCGCCCGGGGCTGCGGGTCGCTCCGCGCTGCTCCGAGGGGCCGTTGC